CACCCCCCCACCCCTCCTGAGAAAAAAGATGGGCCAAAAGTTGGAAGGGGGATTAATTGCGAGCAACCCCCCTGTTCACAAATGTCCGCCATCTTGGATATATACCACTGTTTTGATCTATGACTACACTAAATATCATGTACTTATCCACTGTAGTTGTTCATGTTGTTGAATATTTTATAACAGTCACCAAAAGTTGATTAGCTGATGGTGCTGTTGTTTTTCTTAACTTATTTTCTATCACCAATTTGTCAATTTGATAAGTCAATCAGTACTCGTTAAGACACAATACCAACATTCAGAGGTGTAAAAAATTAATAGCACGACGACCAGGCTCTCTGGTGTTTGGCTAGCGCCATTACATGATTTGAATATATACCGTACTATGAAGAAATTTGAGTATACAAGGCTGAAATAACACAAAACCATTGTCTTAATCATACAAAAACAACACAACAACTTATCGGTATGCAGATTGCAAGCATTATGAGCAAGAGACATGTTTTTATGGACAAAAGTCTTCCAAAACGCGATGTATTTGATCCAGGAATCCAGGTTCTTTGTTGACACTTTCAGAATGGCAATATGAACGAACTGACCTTGACAGAAAGATTTGATATGAAAAAAAAATATCAATTAAAAAAAATGATTTTACCTCTCTGTTACAACTCATAAATGTATTTTAAAATGTATTCATAATTTGCTACTTCAGTACAGACTATAGATATAATGGATTTGGTACAAGCAACATGTTTCGTTTTTCAATGAAATCTGCAAAATACACAACCGGTTAAAAAACGAAAGCATGGTGTTCTTTCAGCAACAGAACAATGTTTTGTTTTAAGTTAAGTCATCTAGATATCTTGATATTTTGTTATGTTTACATCATATTCCATAATCATGTGTTGAAATATTCATCTTCACTCATGAATACATAATTCTTTAAAAAAACAAGAGTCCAAATGGGCCTGCATCGCACACCTGGTATTAAATCTCACACTTGTAATCTTAAAAACGGACTAAAATACAGCTCCAGGAAGAATATCAGTGTTTGATTCATAGGAACCTATTAAAAATTTAAACATATGACGCCTGTGACCTTGAATGTTGAACAAGGACATTAGGTTGAAAGTGGGTCAAGGTCATTCAACTGAACAAACATTGTAATCATTCATCCCAGCATGCTACAGGCCAAATATCAGTACCATGGGCCTTTTGATTATCGAGAAGTTGTTTGAAGACTTTACGACATTTGACCCCTGTGACCTTGAAAGTGGGTCAAGGTCATTCATTTGAACAAACTTGGTAGCCCTTCATCCCAGCATGCTACAGGCCAAATATCAGTACAATGGGCCTTTTGATTATCGATAAGAAGTTGTTTGAAGATTTTAACATATTTGACCCCTGTGACCTTGAAAGTTGGTCAAGGTCATTCAATTAAACAAACTTGGTAGTCCTTCATTACAGCATGCTACAGGCTCAATTTTAGTACCTTGGGCCTTTTGGTTATTGAAATGGTTTGAAGATTTTACAACATTTGACCCCTGTGACCTTTAAAGTGGATCAAGGTCATTCATTTGAACAAAATTGGTAGCCCTTCATCCCAGCATGCTACAGGCCAAATATCAGTACAATGGGCCTTTTGATTATCGATAAGAAGTTGTTTGAAGATTTTAACATATTTGACCCCTGTGACCTTGAAAGTGGGTCAAGGTCATTCAATTAAACAAACTTGGTAGTCCTTCATCTCAGCATGCTACAGGCTCAATTTTAGTACCTTGGGCCTTTTGGTTATTGAAATGGTTTGAAGATTTTACAACATTTGACCCCTGTGACCTTTAAAGGGGATCAAGGTCATTCATTTGAACAAAATTGGTAGCCCTTCATCCTAGTATGCTACAGGCCCAATATCAGTACCCTGGGCCTTTTGATTATCGATAAGAAGTTGTTTGAAGATTTTAACATATTTGACCCCTGTGACCTTGAAAGTGGGTCAAGGTCATTCAATTAAACAAACTTGCTAGTTCTTCATCTCAGCATGCTACAGCTGGCACAATTTCAGTACATTGGGCCTTTTGGTTATTGAGAAGTGGTTTGAAGATTTTACAACATTTGATCCCTGTGACCTTTAAAGTGGATCAAGGTCATTCATTTGAACAAAATTGGTAGCCCTTCATCCTAGTATGCTACAGGCCAATATCAGTACCCTGGGCCTTTCGGTTATTGCGAAGAAGTTGTTTAAAGTAAAATATTGACGCGGGACGACGGACGGACGATGGACGCGACACCACGGCATAAGCTCACTTGGCCCTTCGGGACAGGTGAGCTAAAAACCAATACAGAATCACAGTACTCGGTAAAGAGTACATGTCACTAAATGCTATTTACTATTGTGTCTAATTCAGAAACAAAGTTATTTGTAGTATTTAAACTTGGGTTTATGTTGATTTGCATCCATTAAGCTAATTTGCTTATGTCAGAGACAAAAATTGACATACATTTGTTTTTGAGATGGAGACAATATTAGGGAGAGGGCTTAATTGCTGCAGGCACCCACCCTGTTCCCGGGACATTTACCAAAGTGGGGAGGGGGCTTATTTGAGAGAGGGGGCTTTTTGGCGGTAAAATACGGAAGGTAACTTAAGACCAACTAGAACACAAGACATTTTAACATCTCTAAACGGTTCTGAAGATGTTGTTGTCTGAAACTTAAAATTTTAATTTTAAAGCTTTTAACACACATTGACCTTTGACTCCCCACTTACACTTAAAGTTGATCTTTTACCTCATTACTGTAATAAAGAAAACAATTCACACAGCTGGTCTAAATAACATACCCAAGTATCATGACTCTAGTCCAAATGATTTTTAGGATATTGTTGTTTGAAGTTTTTAACATATTTGACCCCTGTGACATTGAAAGTAGGTCAAGGTCATTTTAATGAGGAAACTTTATAGCACTTCATCCCAGGTACCTACTGGCCAAATATCGTGACCCTGGGCCTTATGGATCTTGAGAAGAAGATTGTTAAAGCTTTTAACCAAAGTTGACATTTGACCCCTGACTAGCATTTAAAGTTGACCTTTGACCTCATTACTGTAATTGAAAAAATATTTGCACTGCTGGTCTACATAACATACCCAAATATCATGACCCTGGACCTTATGGATCTTGAGAAGAAGATTGTTAAAGATTTTAACCAAAGTTGACATTTGACCCCCGACTAGCACTTTAAGTTGACCTTTGACCTCATTTCTGTAATGAAAAAAATATTCGCACTGCTGGTCTACATAACATACCCAAGTATAAGGACTCTAGTTCAAATGGTTCTTAGGATATTGTTGTTTGAAATTTTTAACATATTTGACCCCTGTGACCTTGAAATAAGGTCAAGGTCATTTTAATGAGGAAACTTTATAGCACTTCATCCTTGGTACCTACTGACCAAATATCATGATCCTGGGCCTTATGGAACTTGAGAAGAAGATTGCTAAAGCTTTTAACCAAAGTTGACATTTGACCCCCGACTAGCATTTAAAGTTAACCTTTGACCTCATTACTGTAATGAAAAAAATATTCGCACTGCTGGTCTTCATTACATACCCAAGTATCATGACTCTAGTTCAAATGGTTCTTAGGATATTGTTGTTTGAAAGTTTTAGCATATTTGACCCCTGTGACCTTCAAAGCAGGTCTAGGTCTTTTTAATGAGGAAACTTTATAGCACTCCATCCCAGGTACTTACTGGCCAAATATCGTGACCCTGGGCCTTATGAATCTTGAGAAGAAGATTGTTAAAGCTTTTAACCAAAGTTGACATTTGACCCTCGACTAGCATTTAAAGTTGACCATTGACCTCATTACTGTAATTGAAAAAAATATTTGCACTGCTGGTCTACATAACATACCCAAATATCGTGATCCTTGGCCTTATGGATCTTGAGAAGAAGATTGTTAAGGATTTTAATCAAAGTTGACATTTGACCCCCGACTAGCACTTTAAGTTGACCTTTGACCTCATTTCTGTAACTGAAAAAATATTCGCACTGCTAGTCTACATAACATACCCAAGTATCATGACTCTAGTTAAAATGGTTATTAGGATATTGTTGTTTAAAGTTTTTAACATATTTGACCCCTGTGACCTTGAAATAAGGTCAAGGTCATTTTAATGAGGAAACTTTTTAGCACTCCATCCCAGGTACCTACTGACCAAATATCATGATCCTGGGCCTTATGGAACTTGAGAAGAAGATTGCTAAAGCTTTTAACCAAAGTTGACATTTGACCCTCGACTAGCATTTAAAGTTGACCATTGACCTCATTACTGTAATTGAAAATAATATTCGCACTGCTGGTCTTCATTACATACCCAAGTATCATGACTCTAGTCCAAATGGTTCTTAGGATATTGTTGTTTGAAAGTTTTAACATATTTGACCCCTGTGACCTTCAAAGCAGGTCTAGGTCTTTTTAATGAGGAAACTTTATAGCACTCAATCCAAGGTACTTACTGGCCAAATATCGTGACCCTGGGCCTCATGGAACTTGAAAAGATGATTGTTAAAGATTTTAATCAAAGTTGACATTTGACCCCGACTAGCACTTAAAGTTGACCTTTGACCTCATTTCTGTTACCGAAAAAATATTCACACTGCTGGTCTACATAACATACCCAAGTATCATGACTCTAGTTCAAATGGTTCTTAGGATATTGTTGTTTGAAGTTTTTAACATATTTGACCCCTGTGACCTTAATATAAGGTCAAGGTCATTTTAATGACAAAACTTTATAGCACTTCATCCCAGGTACCTACTAGCCAAATCACATGACCCTGGGCCTTATGGAACTTGAGAAGATTGTTCAAGCTTTTAATCAAAGTTGACATTTGACCCCCTAAAAGCATTTAAAGTTCACCTTTGACCTCATTACTGTAAACAAGAGGCCCAATGGGCCTGAACCGCTCACCTGGTATTAATTTCACACTTGTTATCTTAAAAGTGGACTAAAATACAACTACAGGCAGAATATTGGTGTTTGATTAATAAGAACCTATTAAAATATTTAAACATATGACACTCGTGACCTTAAATGTAGAACAAGGATATTAGTTTGAACAGAATTCATAGTCTTCCAACTCAGCATGCTTCTAGCAAAATATCATTACCCTGGACTTTTTGGTTATACAGAACAAATCATTTAAAGATTTAAACATATATTGACCCCTGTGACCTTGAAAAATGATGAAGGTCATTTATTTGAACAAACTTGGTTGCCCTTCATCCCAGCATGTAAATGGCCAAATTTAAGCACCCTAGGCCTCTCGGTTATTCAGAAGAAGTTGTGTAAAGGTTTTAAACATATTTGACCCCAGTGACCTTGACTATGATTCAAGGTCATTCATTTGAACAAACTTGGTAGCCCTTCATGCCAGCATGCTTTTGGCCAAATATCATCACCCTAGGCCTTTTGGTTACTGAGAAGAAGTTGTTTAAAGTAAAAAGTTGACGCCGGACGGACGCCGGACGCCGCACCATGCCATAAGCTCACTTGGCCCTTCGGGCCAGGTGAGCTAATGAGAAAAATGTTCCCACTGCTGGTCTTCATAACATACCCAAGTATCATGACTGTAGTTCAAATGGTTCTCGGGATATTGATGTTTGAATTTTTTAACATATTTGACCCCAGTGACCTTGAAAGTAGGTAAAGGTCATTTTAATGAGGAAACTTTATAGCACTCCATCCCAGGTACCTATTGGCCAAATATCATGTCCCTAGGTCCTACAGTTCTTCAGAAGAAGTCGTTCAAAAGAAAAAGTTGAAGGACGGAAGACGGACGACGGATGCCGCTCCACGGCATAAGCTCACTTGGCCCTTTGGGCCAGGTGAGCTGAAAATTAGTGACAATAAAATTACTATTTTTTTCAGGCATGTTACCTGAAACAACCTTTCTTTTATTTTGGCTTAAAAATCAAACATTTTTTTTCAATTGGCAATGAATCATTAAAAAAGACCCAACCCTGTACCAGACAGTTTTATAATACTCACTTCCTCTCAAGAAAAAACAGCAGAACAGCAGGAGATATGTATTTCTATGTTCCATAATAACCATGGATCCTAAAAAAAAGAAGAGAAAAATATTATCATAATGAAGTTTGGTTGTTTGTTCTATATGGTGATGAAAATGAGAAGTCTGCAATATATAGAGTTATAATTACGGGCAAGTATCCACTTTTTGTGTGACCGAACATATGACAGACAGTGTCTGAACGGTGACAGAATGATGACCACCCACTAGCAAGACGCTGTAGTAACATTTACACAAACTGGACGATATTTATAAGGCCAGTTTTACTAATTGGAACAAACACTTTAAGAATGGCTTTTCAATGGTCAATATACAGATGCCTGACCAGTAGAATTAACAGTTGATGAGGCCGCCTACTGTATTATTGGTCGAATCACACTTATAACTAACTCAGTCAATCTACTTTAATTCCATGTCTAAACAAAAGAATAGATCTAAAACCTTGACTAAACACTTTGAGCCATGTTGTATTTAATTTACAATAACTTGGAGCACTCTAACAATTAACATATTTTAATTAAAAGTGGCAACAAAATATGTAAATGAATCACTGTCGATGATTTGAAAGGAATTGATTAAAAGATAAAAACGTTCTTGCATTTACTACACAATGCCTTTATTTGGCAATAAAAGGGGCATATATATGTAACTCCACCAATAATGCACCTAAACTTCTGAAATTTGAAACTCTTCTGAGCTATTTTGGTATGCAACAACCAAAGGGAACTCAAGTTATTCCATGGAAACCTTGTTTCGGATGATGCAACAGACGCCGACAAAGTAATACCTATATGTCGCCTCGCGTTTGCAGGCGACACAAAAAGCAGGTAAGCTACAAATGTAATAACCTACTTCTCTTACCTGTGAATGTTATTGCCAAAGGGCATTATGACAAACCCTCGAACTAACACAGGTATACACAAAGGGACCTAAACAGTTTATTTTTTTAATTTTTGTGTTTAGCTTGCAAAGTACTGAAATTTTTCATTTTTGTTGTATTTCATTTTTGGGTTACCATTTATATGCCATAGTAATGGTATAATTTATAATTCAGTTTAGTTTTGGAAACTTGCTGGTTTTATTTTCAAACCAGGTGTTTACTTTTTCAAACTGAGCATTTTTTTTCAAACTGAGTTTACTTTTCAAACTGAACGTTTACTTTTCAAACCGAGTTTTTATTTTTCATACAGAGTGTTTTTTTTTCATGGGCAGTGTTTTGAGGGCTGCCGTTTAGTTTTCCAGGGGCCTATTGTTTGTTGGGTACTTTCTTGACTGCCCCAGAGGGCTCATCTGTGAAGTTGCTGCTCTGTCCGCCTTACCTGGTCACTGTGCATCAGTGATGATCAGGCTCTGTAAACGGAGCGCAAACTCTAGATCAAAATTTCCTTTAGCAATCTTGCTAAAACCCCATATTTTTCTTTAGCGATTAAGAATTGGCTTTAGCAAACTCGAGGAATAACAGAGTCTTTGATAAATTTAACATTCTTCTACTTTATCTTTTTAATTAACAGTGTCAATAAACTTTGTCAACACCACAAATCCTTTTCTTTCCTTGTTTTTTTACCCATATAATAGCTTCATCTAGAGATGATAGAATTAGAAGTCATAAATCAGAAAATTCAAATGTATCTTATATATTCAGGTCTTTAGTGTTTCTCAAAGAAATAGACATCATTCACATCTCTGAGAGGACACCCTGACATATTTCCGGTGCGTGGAGATCGGCAAGCTTGGACTGAAAACTTTTCCAAACTAATAAAATTTCTTCGTTAAAACAATTTATGGTGATTTGACCTCTCACCATGATTGTTTTAAAATATTTGTGTTGAATCAATAACTTTTTTTATTTACCAAACACTTTGACAAGATGATGTATAAGAAAGGGTCGTTTTCTGTCCCCAAGATCTGTGACCTGTGAACTGATCATCGAGCTGGATATGCCATATTGCATCTTGATTAAAACAGAGGCTGGAATTTTGTTGATTTGACAAATTGTTTTCTCTCATAATATTTTCGCACAATTTACGAAAAGCACTAATTTCTTTTTCGCAATAAGTAATCCAAAGGTGGGATCAACATTTGTGCCCCCACTTTGATTTCTTTTATTCTTTTGCCATATGTAGATACATAAATATGATCAATAACTGCATAAATGATTATTCATAATTACTGCCGAAAACCGTAGTGGACCTCCTTGCATACTACCAGGTTATCCTAACAAAATGACATATGTGTCACAGGCGAATGTTGTTTTGAAAATGAATTACGATAGTGTACAGTGTATATAATTACTGTTATTTTGATACTAATTATGTCATATTGGTATACAGGAAGTAAGCGTAGTGATACTTTTAATTAGAAAAATAACAAGAGGCCCAAGGGCCTTAGCGGTCACCCGAGTTATATCATAGGTACTGGTAGCTTTATTTTATTGTTTAGATGTGATGTGGAAATCAGCATGTAAACTAAGTGAAATACAATACTTGTCATGTCATCAAAGAATAAGAATTTTTAGAATATTGGTAAATGTTCCCTTTGGGGCCCCGTCCTAGCCCCTGGGGATGGGGCAGGAATTCCAAATTTACAATGTAATACTGTCATCCGTCACCCTTTGGGGCCCGCCCTGGCCCCTAGGGTTGGGGTAGGAATCCCAATTTTACAATTTAAAACAATCTTCCTCCAAGGAAAATTATCACCAAGTAAGAATAATTTTCAACAGAAAATTGTCAAAATATACCCTAAAGTGTTGTTTCCCTATATAAACTATAGTAAACTTTACCCCCTCCCCAAGGGAGAACGGATATCTCGGGGGTCCTGAAATTTACAATTCAAATAAAGCCCCTAATGATCTTTCCATCCACGCAGAGAAAATGACTATAGTACCTATGAGTCTGGAGAAGAAGATTTTTGAAATATTAGTTAATTTTCCCTTTGGGGCCCCGCTCTGGCCCCTAGGTCTATTAATAGATTTGGTGAGAAAGCCTGGCTTACCTGTGGTGATACTGTACCGTTGTTCAAGCCCGTCAGTTAAAAACAATGCTCTGACTTTAGTGTATTTATAATGACATATCAGACATCGATGTGTTTTGATGCAGGTTTGGAGAGGGCTTACGGTTGCTACCAGATTGATTATTATATATATCTTATATTATATGTATCGCTCACCTGAATATTTAAGCAATCATAGCAAAATATTCTCATTAAGGATTATATTGCACTACAAATATTTTCCTCGCAAACTTTTTCATCTCCATCTGTTGAAACTACCAGCCAAATATTTTTACAAGATTCTATGCTTTTTTATTCTTCTTCAGAAGTTGCTTGACATATTTTTCCCTGTGACCTTGTAAGAAAGTCAATGTCATTTTCCTTCTCAAATTGGTTAGCTCTATTCCAAAATGCTACCAGCCAAATCTTATGAATCCATTCCTTTTAGTTCTTGAGAACAAATCCTTTAAAATGTTGACCTCTGTGACCTCTAAAGTAGGTTGAGGTCATTTTCATTCGCAAACTTTGGTAAGCTCTATCCCAGGAAGTCAGCCGCCAAATATTAAAATTTTATGAATTTTAATTCTTCAGAAGAAGTAGTTTGAACCGTTCGACATATTTGAAAGCTGTGACCTTGAAAGTAAGTCAAGGTCATTTTCATTCGCAAACTTTGTTTGACGCTTTCCCAGGAAATAACCAGCAAAATATTAAGGTTCTATACCGTCCAGTTCTTCAGAAAAAGTTGTTCTAAGCGTTCGACATATCCGACTCCTGTGACCTTGAAAGTAGGTCAAGGTCATTTCCATTTTTTAAACTTTGTTGGGCTCCATCCCAGGAAGCCACCAGCCAAGTATGAAGATTCTATACCTTTTAGTTCATCAGAAGAAGTCGTTTGAAGCGTTTGACATATTTGACCGCTGTGAAAGAAGAAGAATTTTATAGAATTTGCTATATTTCCCCTATTGGGCCCGCCCCTCAGGTCCAAGGGGGGGGGGGCACACCCACCGTTTATACAACATGTTTTCCCCTTTACGCAAGGATACACAAAATATGGACCAAATCCTTTTATTCAGACAAAATAAGAAGGATTTTAAAGAATAATTTGCTATGTTTCCCCTACTGGGCCCACCCCTAAGGCCCCTGGGGGGCCAGACCCACGGTTTATACAAAATTGGTTCCTCTTCCCCCAAGGATGCTTCTGAACAAATATAGAACAAATCCTTTCATTCCTACAAAAGGAGAAGGATTTTAAACAATTTGCTATATTTCCCCTATTGGGCCCCACCCCTCAGCCCCCAGGGGGGCCACACCCACCATCTATACAAAATTGGTTCCCCATCACCCAATGATGATTCAGACTTAATATGGAACAAATCCTTTCATACCTACAGAAGAAGAAGGATTCTAAAGAACTTGCTATATTTCCCCTATTGGGCCCGCCCCGCAGTCCCCAGGGGGGCCACACCCACCATTTATACAAAATTTGTTCCACATGGACATATCATTTCATTCCTACAGAAAGAATTTGCTATATTTCCCCTATTGGCCCCCCCCCCCCCATTCAAAGAAGCTTCTGACTAAATTTGGTCAAAAGCTACTGGGCCGTTCAGGAATATTTTATTTCTAGGGTTGAAAGTATATCTCAATACCAACAGGACGGATGGCTTCACTTACGCTGTTTGGAGAAAAGACCTTTTGTTTCGTAAACTGACTTACCCCATTGTTCTCCACAGACCACCCTCAGAACAAGACAATGTAGCCATAATTGGATAATTGCCGACATCGTGCTGTGTCGTGAAAACAGTTCCAATACCTGACCTTGCCATTGAAATGTACTAGGATGTCACGGCTGAATGAACAGCGATGCCGGGGGCATAACGTTTACATGTAGCGATTGCTCAAGAAACAGCTATCGCCAAAGTTTTTTCCCTATTGTCTGCAGTAATTTAAATTAAAGCCTCCTCATAGGCATTTTCGCCAACAGCAGACTCAAATGGCCAATCATGTTTTACTTTCGCTAATTGTGCCAGTGCACGAGGCG